AAGATACCCTTGCCCGTTTATGAGCCTCGGAGCAGCTCCTTCACCAACCACGACTTATACCCTAACATCTGGATACAATTTCCGTTCTGGGCAGTGATAACAAAGTCGCAAGGAGCGGCAACACCGACTGTAACTCCAAGAACATCCCCTGGCGTAGGATTGCATGACGTCTAATCTAGCCTTGATCGGGATAGTGTAGAGGCTAAGCTCAAGCTATCTTCCGCAACTCCAAGCCGAGTGAAGCTTGTTATTATACCATTTTTCACCAACCACAGCACCATGGAACTTAGAAATATCATTTTCATACGTCCATTACGATCCTTCTATTCAAAAGTCTAGATCTTTACGTACACACCCTTTTATTATGCAACACTAGATAGCTAGCCTACCTTATCTCCGTGCATGACGAATTCACTAGTCAGGGATTAAGCGACCGCCGGCTTGCATACAAGAAGTTTCTTATTTGCTTATTTACGCCACTGATAAAGAGAGCACTTCCCGTCGTTTCCCCACAGTCTTTCCGTCCTCGACATACACTACAATGGCAGCAAATGATCCAGGTCTTGCGCCCTTGAGCGCGCCAGCTGAAGACCCTACCAAGGGCGCCGTGGGTGTTCCCGACGAAGACGTACCTGTTGCGCCAGATCAATTTGATGAGCGTTATGAAACGACGAGATGGGAGATTTGGGCATACTACTGGTATGATTCCTCCAGCAATGCTTGATTGCAAAGCTGTTAGCATTGTCATGATCTAATACCCTGCTTCGCCTATAGCTACTATGTTGGCGACAATGGACTCACGCTCTTCAACTTCGGCCCCACTGCTTTTCAAAACCTGATGTACCAAGCCGCTGGCGACTCTGAAATACTGCATTTCATGGGACGAGACAGGACCATCAACAGCATTGTCTTGCTGAGCAACGGCCTAAGTTTCGCTATCCAGGTTGTTGTGTTCCTGATCCTCGGTTCGTTTGCGGATTTCGGCTCCTGGAGACCCAACATACTCATTGTACTTTCCATGGTTGCTTTTGGTATCGGCTTTGGCTGGTTAGGCGTCCATACCCAGGATGACTGGCATATCGGAGTCGGGCTTTACATTGTCGGGCTGATCGCATACCAAACAACGATTACATTCTGGACGGCTGCTTTTCCTGGCCTTGCGCGAAATACCAAGGAATTGCGACTCAAAGCGGAGGAGTTCACGGAAGGGAAAATCACACGTGCGGAATATGACTTTGTGGACATGATGAAGCGAAACGAACTTTCTAACACGGCCTTTTACGTCCAGTCAATCTTTGAAATCCTGATATTGGCCGTAATTGTGGGTATCATGTTTGGCCTCAAGGTCAATGACAGCGAGGCGAACAACAATTGGGGTCTCTCTGTGCTCATCGCGTTTGCGACTGGTGTCTGGATCCTTTGCGCTATCCCTTGGTTCGTGCTCGAGAAACGCCGTCCAGGCCAGGATCCAGGACGTACGAATATTGTAGTCGCTGGAGTGAAGCAGCTTGGATACGCACTCAGCCAGATCTGGCAATTGCGCCAGAGCCTGGCGTACCTTGCCGGCTACTTCTTACTGGGCGACAGTCTCAATACCACGGTGACGGTTATCGGAACCCTCCAGAATGAAATCGTCGCGTACAACAGCTTGCAATTGGTCTACCTGTATATCGTGGGTATCGCAGCTCAAGCAATCGGTATCGGCGCGTTCTGGCGCATCCAGAAGCACTGGGGACTGTCCACAAAGACGATGTTCATGGTTATTGCCCTTGGCATTGTTCTGCTCGATGGCTGGGGCATGATAGGCATTTGGACGCAAACCTTCGGCTTCCATAAGAAGTGGGAGGTCTGGCTATATCAAGTCTTCTACGGGCTATTCGTCTGCCCATGGTACAGCTATTCGCAGACGATGATCAGCGAAGTGACGCCCCGAGGCAAGGAGTTCCTGTTCTTCAGTTTGTTCTCGATTGTTGGCAAGACGAGCGCGTTCATTGGGCCGTTGGTGAGCAGTGCCATCATTGATGACACAGGCAACAACAGTACTCCGTTCTACTTTTTGTTTGCGTTGAGCTTGGTCAGCTGTGCGTGGCTGTTCTTCTTTGTGGATATTGGCAAGAGTAGGATTGAACAGCAACTATTTTTGGAGAGGGAGAAGAGTATCAGGTCGTCGAATACGAGCGTGGAAGATGTTAACCTGCGGGCGGCATAAGAAGTTATGTTCATGGCTAAGTTGGGTACACGCTCGTTGCAATATATCCCATATTCGCAGACCGACGCACCTTCTCCAAATTTATTACTCAAGGCGATGATGGCTCAACGTTGAGTTTGCGGTAACAGGCAATGAAGTCCCTTCTCTGCATATAGGTCTGAGTGCTTTGCACATCGTATAGAGATTATGAAGTGGTGTTCAAGCGGAATCTCTCCGACTGAAAAAGGCTGCAGATCACAGACGGCATTCGGAAATTATGTTATGGTACGCGATGCTTTGCTTTTGCACCTTGAGACTTGAGTCGTGACTCGGGAGTGTTGAAGATCGAGCCCTTTCGTCATGGGGCGCGCGCTACCATCACAATAGCGCTCGAGATGGCGCTCGAGATCTACGCGTACCTACGTAATTGGATAGCTTGTGCGCCGCCAATCTGTGACACGATCTTAGCCTCACCTAATTCGCACGGCGTTGCCCGAATCAAGTTCAAGATTTCCGATCTGGGACGATCCGTTGCTAAGAGCCCCATTCAAGGTGATCCAATCTAAGACTTGAACGATGCCCATATGCACGATCAACACCATGCATTATCTAGCTCTGACTAGCTATGTGCCATCTTTACATAGGTGACGTGCAATCTTGTTGTTGAGATATGTAGCGGCGGTTTTGGCGAACAGAATGGCGTGAGCGCCCTGTTGAATGCGTTGTACAAAGGTGGTGCTGTTTTTCTCTCGATAACTATTCTTGCATCAGGTCACCTCACAGCGAAAATCTATGGCACAGCGACACGCCTCACAAACCAACAGGTGGTCGGGTCTGACCGCTGCACCTACGAGGCCGACGAGTCATGTCGATTCTGAGAAGGACAAATCTCTCCATGGAAACCTCCCCGTACAGTCAAATGCTCAATCAGGAGCGCCTCTTGACCCCGAGAAGGGAATACAACCAAGTCCGCAGCGAGATGCGAAGTCGAACTCATCAACCGCTTCACCCTCGAAAGACCGCCCGGTGGCACTCGACTGGGACGGCCCTGAAGATCCGCTCAATCCCCACAACTGGTCGCTGGCTAGGAAGTGGTTTCAAACGTACACAATATCAGGAATTGCCCTGGTGGGGACTTTCGCGTCGTCCGTCTTCACACCCGGCATCGAAGCTGCAGCCACGGAGTTGAAGTCGACCGATCTCATCGCAACGTTAGCGTTCTCAATCTATCAGCTAGGACTCGCTTTCGGAGGGCCTTTCGCTGCGCCTCTCAGCGAGACGTTTGGAAGACGCCCTGTCATCTTCATCAGCTTGCCGATCTTCGCATTGTTTATTCTCGGTACAGGCTTTGCGCCGAATATGGCTGCATTGATTGTATTACGCTTCTTCGCCGGATTCTTTGCTGCTCCCAGCTTGAGCATGGGCTCAGGTACGCTCAGCGACATTTGGCCGCCGGAGAAAAGATCTGGGCCCATGTCGCTTTACGTTGCGACGCCGTTCTTTGGTCCAGCGCTAGGTCCGCTTCTAGGAGCTGCCGTCACGCAGACTCAAGGCTGGCGCTGGACGTCGTGGTTGATACTCTTCTTCACCGTCGTCCTTGTCATTGCCCCAGCTCCCTTCTACATCGAATCGTACAAGCCCATACTACTCCGTCAGCGCGCAAAGAAACGAAACCTGCCTTTACCACGCTCGCCTACCGAGGGCATGTCGTTGCCCAAAGTCGTCAAAACATATGTCTCCAAGACACTCACGCGGCCCATGCACATGCTCCTTACCGAACCCATCGTCGCAACATTCAACGCGTACAGCGCATTCAACTTCGGCCTGCTCTACGCCTTCTTCGCCGCCTTCCCCTACGTATTCAAAGCCCAGTACGGCTTCGACAGCCTCTCAACAGGCCTGACGTTCCTAGGTGTCGGGGCAGGCGTCATCATCGGAACCATCTGCATCGTCGTCTTCAGCAAGGGCTACTACCAGCCTCACGTCCGACAAGCAGTCAGCAACGAGGAGCCCACACCCGCGTTCGCAACATCTAGACTGACGCCGGAAACGCGACTGCCACTGGCGATGGTCGGCGGTCCTTGCATCACCATCGGCCTCTTCCTCTTCGGCTGGTCGACCGCGTACAGAGTGCATTGGATTGTCCCCACTATCGCTGAAGCGTTCTTTGGGTTTGGCAATATGCTGGTGTTTATGGCGTGCATGATGTACATTACGGATACGTATGGGCCGCTGTATAGTGCGAGTGCGATGGCGTCGAATGCTATTCTGCGGTATATCCTTGGGGGAACGTTTCCGCTCTTTGCTGTGCAGCTTTTTCGGGGGTTGGGGCCGCAGTGGGCGTGTACTTTGCTAGGGTGCCTGAGTGTTGTGGGTGCTTGCGTGCCGTTTGGGTTGGCAAGGTTTGGAGAGCGGATTAGGAAGAGGAGCGGGTATAAGAGGGATGGGTAGACTTGTAATGGTTTGAAGAGAAATCATGCATTGACGAGTTATTATTGATCATGTTCTCGTTCCTTATGCAGTGATACTATGAAGGACATGTCCCAGCGTCAAAAATGGGATACAAGATGGAACTCGCTAGCATGAAGTTCGAGTCCATCGAATCTCACACGCAGTCAGCCAACAAAGCCGCGACTTTCCGCACTCAGCCACTAACCCAACACCCCCGCTTTCCCTTCCCCTGAGCCCTTCAAAATCCTTCCAACCTAGCTCCTATCCATCAATCACCTCCAACTCACCTCCTCGCTAGTTCCACCGCAATTACTAAGAACATAGTTAAACTAATTTCGAAAATTGCTTAAGTTTCTCCATCGACACGATGGCCGAGTGGTCTAAGGCGGTAGATTTAAGCCTCCCTGCTGAGATCTCTACTACAGAAATGTGCGTGGGTTCGAACCCCACTCGTGTCATTTTGCGCTTTTATGCTTCTTTTTTGCATTATCTAGTGTTCAGAACGGCGTGGGGAGGTGGTTGGGAGGGTTGGATTGATTTTTGGTGGCGCTGGAGGGGGCCGAAGGGACATAGAGGTTAAGCGAGGTGCGGGAACATCAAATGTTAGATGGAGAACATGAAACTTTGGTAGGATTAATGATGGCAGCGAGAGTGTCTGGTGTGAATGATTGATTGTATTGGCACTGATTGCGTGCAGGGAAGGACAATCGTATATAGGAGAATATTAAAGAGGGATTTTTTTCTTGCGTTAACTACCACTTGAAATTAACATCACCTGCGCTCCCTCGACTCACTGTGACTACTGCATTGACAAACAATTCCTGACATACGCCAGCCGAGCGATGGCTACAGCTCCATTACTTTCCATGCACTTCTAGACTCAAGTAGTTTCGAAATTAAACATCATTGCAATCCCCTATGAAACCATAGGATTATTCGTCTAAGCTGTTAATACGCAAGCACAACCAGAATCCAATGATATTTACTAGACAAAGGTGGGAAGCGCATTATACGATTGCTGGACATAGAAAGATGTACGAACGAACATAGACCCGTACTGAGATTGTCTGAATATGAATAGGAAAAGTCACGCCTATGTGATGTTTAGGACATTCATGAATACCTGTACATATGCATCTATTTACAGCTATTTATACAGCGATCATGTTGTACAACAGTCCGGAATATCTAGATGCAGCCCGCGATGCCTTCTACGCCTGTTCATGCTACCCCTGACACAACACAGCTCACTGTGCATTATGAAAGTATCTCTCCTGCAGCTTATCGTTCGTCACAGGCATACTCTCAATAGCCCTGATCGTCATGGGCGCCGCCTCCTCGACAATCTCCCTCATCCATGCCCCCGCAGCCTCATCATATCCCACGCCGTTACTTTCATCCTTCCTCGTCTGACTGTACGCCTTTGCAAGCATAACCAACGTCTTGTACCGCGGCAGCACGCTTGTCTTCTGGATTTCGTAGTGCCGGATCTCCATCCACTGGTACCCCTGCCGATCATTGCGGACGTAGTTTGGCACGAGATTGCGCCACCCGGGGAAGCGCGGCATTAGATAGACCTCGCAAATTGTGAATGCGTCGACGAGGCGGTCGCGAACAGCGAGCTGTTGGACCAACTCGTTCCAGGTGAGGTTGTCCACTGCGACGCCGCTGACGAGGAGGTCGCGGATGGTGCGTTGTGCTTCCTGCAAGGCGGCGGGGTCTGTTTGGCGGAGGAGACTGCGGATGTAGATGCGCGAGGCCTTGGAGAGGATCTGGCGGCGGTTGGGGGAGATGTGAGCCTGCTCGAAGCGTTCTCTGACGGAGGGGTCAACGAGAGAGTCAAACTCTGGGACAGGCGCTTCAGGGTGCACAGCTTGGTGGAACGTCTTGGTGAGTCTACTGGCTGAGGCTCGCGCTAGTTCCCAGCAGCGTGCTACTTCGGCGTGCCTGCCAGCTTCGAGGTGAGCCTCCATGATCGCTGTAATGAGCGTGATCGACGTAGCGTAGTTGTCCGAGTCGGGTGCGGCTTCCATTGCCTTCTTGAAAAGCTTCCTGCATATCGCGAAGGCTTGCCGATTAGTGTAGAGCGAGATCAGGAGACCGTAATAAGCCTGGGGCACTGAACCGTAATTATGCACATCGACTTGTTGTTGGTGACGGGGCTCGCGGTGTGCACTCTCGCTTCCTCCTGCTGCAACAAGCACAGTCTGAAGGAGTTCCTCAACCTTGAGTAAACGATAGTTCGGATGCTTCGCACCTCGCTTCTTCAACCTCGCAAGCTCAACAGTGCCCAAGGTCTGAATTGCCGCCTGTCGCGAGCTTTCAGTTTGAGGAATGTTACGCTTCATCATTCCTTCGTAGGTATTCATAGCGAGATCTACCTGTCCTTCTCTCAAGAAGCCAGCCATGACTATAGCGTAGTGGAACGCATGTACCCGAAAATCGTTTTCTGGCATCGTGACCCTCAAGATCTTATAGGCAGCGTTCGTTTGCCTGACTTCCACTAAAGCCCGCATAAGACTGGCATACGTCCACGAATCGAGGGGTATCTTATTTTCGACCATCTGCTTGTAGCATTGTCTGCTATCGGCGAGATTCCGATGCAGTGCAAAATGCTGAATGAGCAGGTTCCACGTGTGAGTGAGCGGATGACCGCGGAGCGTGGCAGCCTGCCAGCTTCTGAGCATCCCTTGGGCAATGGCTTCTGCGCCTTCTACGTCGCCAGCATTCAGGAAGGCTTGCACATAGCCGGAACGCGCGCGAACATCTGACTCTAGGCGAATACCCATCTGCTTCGCTCGCGTGAACAGCGCCTCGAACGCTTCAATATCGCCTCGACTGGCGCAGAAGTCGAGCAAGGGCCCAAAAGTCTGTACATCTGGCATGACCCCACAGTCTAAGCAATTATTGAAACATTCGAGAGCACCATCAAGATCGTCAGCGCGGACGTAGGAAAGGAGTAGAATGTTCCAGCAAACAGTATCTGGCACCATTCCGAACTCATCGTGGATTCGCCTGAACTGCTTTATCGTTCCCTCTACATCTGCGCGCCGGGCATACACAAATGGCAGTGATGATAAGACTTTCAGATCCACGTGTTTCTTGTGGTTTGCCTGCAATTGGTCGAAATACTCGTGCACCAATGCAGCTTCGCCACGGTTGGCACAAGCCTGGATCAAGAACTTGAGCACCCCTGGCTCCAAGAAATGATCCGGATGAAAGGTGCGTAGATCTTGTATGTATTCAAGCATTTGTTTGAGGCTGTTGTGAGAAGCGGGTTGGAAGATGAGTTGTCGAAGCACCTTTGTAGATGGCTTTTCTCTGGATTTGGAACGCGGTTGGTCGACGAACTGCTGACGATATCGCTGATATAGCACCTGCCAGAGTGTGCGCTTGGCCTTCGCAGTATAGGCTTGGTATCGCGGGAGTGCTAACATTTTCTGTATAGCATGCTCGTAACATGCCGATGTTGGGAGGTTCAAAGAATGAAGGTCGTCAAACAGCGTGTTGAACCACTTCCAGATAAATTGTTCGTCTGGGTCGCGGTCGTTAAGCACGCGATCCATGACGTGGGGTATGAAAGTCATCACAAAATATGACAATGCCTGTTCCTGCTCCTTGGTTGATCTCAGCTCATGTTGGTACTCGCGTACATGTGAGAGGAACGACGCAGAGTTCTCCAGCAAAATCGGCAGTTGTGTAATCCCTTTCCATACATCTGGTAATGTGTTTCCAGAACGTATCTCTACACGTAGGGGAACATCCTTCAGCGTAGGTGTTCGGCGAAGGAATATCCTAAAAACGCGGAGACTAAGGTCCCACTGCTCGTCGTTGACGGTACGTCGCAGGATGATATCTGTACCAATGTGCATCATGTCAAAATTCCTATCCGCACGGACTTCTTCAAGTGTCTGGATCGCTGGTCCTACCATCCTAAGTGCGATGTAAGCCGCAATGGCTGCTCGGTACGAGGAGGGGCGACGGTGGACGTATGGTATTTCACCGAACACTTGGAGCACTCGGCTGGGCACTGTAGGACCATCATCCGTAGTAAGGTATTCGAGAAGCTCACACCGTAGAGGATAATTCCTGCCATGGAGCAGGCGTTCAGGGATAGCAGAATAAAGCTGCCAGGCCAGTTCTTCTTTCCTAGGCCCCCGCTCATGCAGCAATTTCTTCAGTTCTACAATCGCGTGAGAGTCTTTCAACCGAGCCTCCATTTCCCTCTTCGCCTCTTCCGTGACTGCGGCGTCCACACTGAACTCATCGTGCCGAGGTTGCCCCTGAACTGTAGAAAACTGGCGTGTGGCAGGCCCCGGTAGCTGCCGTCGCCGCAATTCTGGTGCGCCACGCCCATGTACAGACAGCCGTCTAAGCAGAGCAAGTGTCTTCTCGGGGTACAGAAAGTCGAGTAGCGTGCCATCGTGATGTGTCGAAGCTGCTGTGGCCGTGGCCGGCGAGTCGTGCACGTCACCACTGCACTGGCCGAGTAACGAAGAGGCCGCCCACCATATGGGGAGGCTGAGGTCGCTTGCACCGTGGTGCCAGAAATGCGAATGCAGCGTGCGTCGACTGCGCAGACATTGCTTCGGGGCACGAAAGAGCTGGCGTCCGCCGGATTCGAGGCATGTCGGAGCACGCTCGAGCATCACCTGAGCGGTCACAGGCGCAGATGATGCCAGCGCAAATTAGCGAGAGTCGTCAAGTGTGCTGCGAACTGGTCTTGTCAGTGATGCATCGACGGAGGGTCAATTCGGAGCTCACTAACACTCGTGCATGCCTTCAAGGGATTGTTGCGAAGCGGACTGTAGACAACGAGGAAGCATGAAACATCAGCAATGCAAACGTGCAACGAAGACGCAAGAAAGAAAAGCACAGCGCGTGCACGAGTAGGATATGTCCTGGCGTGGCAATGGCTGGCGCGATGTCTATGATATCTCGAAAAGTTTCCAATGGGCGCGACATCAGGTGAGCCGGACTTGGCAGGCACGCCACGCCCGATCATAGCTCGCCAAACCGTCTGGTGCCCCTCAACCTGCCCACACGTGCTGGGTTGGCTTTCTATACATACAGCCACGACAAGCCATGGACATCACTAAGTTCGTCGTCGACTTCCGAGAGTCGGCGTTCCTCCTGGGCGACTATGGCTCTTACCGCGCCCAATTGTCCCGGAGGCTGCGCATTGTGCGCCGCAAGCTTGGGCGGGCTACACCTAAGAATGCCAAATATGCTGCAAAGGCTCCAGTGACGGCCGAGGAGATTGGGAAGAACATTGAGTATGCTCCTTTTGTAGCTTGTTCTTGATATTTTCTAATATACCTAGGGCCCTCCATCTTCTCTTACTGACTTCTGAGCGAGCATGGGCGCAAGCGATGGCCATGAAGGCCTCGCACTCCGAGGACAACGCGGACAAGAACATCACGGGCTCCACTCGCTCACACATAGTGTCGCGACTACA